TCACAAACCATTATTTGTCAATTCTTTACTAATTTACAGTTTTTTGCGCAAAAACGTCAATGCGAAATAAAATTGAAGCGAAGAAATCCGAGATTTTTTCAGTGGTTCAAAATAACACGATTTCCATCCTCATAAGATGAAGCCCACAAAACATATAAGGTACCTATAGAAGTGTTGCTCAAAAAAAATGATAAATGATTCAATAAAACACGGAATCAATGCATGGGAATCGAACCCACATCGGACAATACAAACCACCTAACAAGAGCCTACGAACTCCCAAAAACATTAATGTCAGATAATTTGACAGTTTTTTTTCAAAATGGCTGTCTTTGTGCGCCATTTCTAGGGCAGGCCGGCAAACGAGCAGACGGATCACCTGATGGTAAGCGATCAGCTCTGCCCATGGACACCCGGAACACTAGCTGAGTTACAAGTGCGTTGCCAGGCTTTTGGGAAGCCCAAAGTCAAAAAGCTTTCAACTAGACAGGCAGTTTTGAAACTACAAAAGAATAGTCTGTCAGTGAAGCTAAGCGTCCTTCAGCCTCATTCACACAGCGGGATCCAACGCTATGGTAGTGTCACGTTAGTTTCCTGTGAGGCCGTGGTGTCACTCCGGTCGAGTCGATATATTATTTTAAGATATAAGCTTGTAAATGAGCAAAAATATCACCTGAAGGTAAACAATCAAAGTCGCCCATGGACACGCAAAACATCAGAGGCGTTACAAGTGGTATACCGGCCTTTTGGCATTAGGGTTTTGAGGATTGTTGGGGATATGTCCTAAGACTACTCAGTCACAAACGGACGGGTATACCCACCCTCTATAACTTTGAACAGTCGGTGATCTAACTGCAAACTAGCATACTGTTTTCTACTACTGAAAACGTTTCAAATACCAAAAATCTCAACAACACTCAACTCGATCCAAGTTCCGAACTCATACAACACACTCTACATTCCTGCCCACCACTTGAAACTAAACCAACTGTTACGTCACAACCAAAAAAAAAATAAACCCACAGGTAATAAATACAGTTAGATATGGCATTTGAAAAGATTCTATTGTCAATTTTTTTAGTAATGGCAGCCCGAGTACACAAAGAATCACCTGATCGTTATTGATGGCGAACTTGTTGAAAATCAAAAGTGTGTAATGCAATCTATTTATGTCAAATCTTGTTTAGAAAAATGGCCAGCAGTGGAATTCCATGCCAGGGTCTGTGTTTCCTAAAGGATACCTGGGTGTCTTCAAGGCCCGAGTGAATAGGTTGCTAGTGTAGGCGTGCTCCATCGTTGGAGCCATCAGACCACAGATGGGGCCCAACAGGGCTGACTGCTACGGAGCCGCGGAAGACTTAACGGGTTGCCGAGGCTCCGGCTCGAAGTGCAAGAGTAGGAACGGGGTGGTTTTTAGTCAGTAAGAGTCTGACACTCCCTCTCGCCTCACCCGGGCGGGAGAAGTCATTGGATGATTTCGACCCTCAAAAAACTAAAGGCGTGCTCCATAGTAGACCGCATCATCACCAGACGTCTACCATCAGGCGAGATAGTGGCCAAAAGCAGACTGACAAAGAAAACCAAAACTGTCCGAAGTCAAAGTTTAAATAGACCAAAGAAGGTACTATTAGTCGTCAATACAAAATATTAGCACATTAAAAATGTCAGTCTGCCAGTCTGTCCTCTAGTGAAGCCATGTGCTATTTCCAAAGTAAAGCTATGGACAACAACGAGTCCACTAAGCATCTTCAACTACTACATAACATCACGCCTTTTATCCCTGAAAGGGTAGGCAGAGGTGCACATTACAGCACTTTTTCGCAGCGGTCTTTTCCGCTCCAACGCACCATGAACTTCGTTTTGTGTGTTCTGGTATTGTTGTCCATGTGTGTCGTGGTGTATTAAACAATTTTTCTTTCTTTCTTCTATTATTTAATGCCACTGTACAATGTAACACCCACTTTTCACTATTTATGTTATGAGTCCCATGTATTGACATATACCGGGCACATTTCCAAACTTCGTGATACTACTGAGACCGGTATATTCCGAAAAAAAACAACATTATGTCAAAATCGATTCTTTACAGATTTTGGTTTTAGATATCGGCCCTTATGACGATTAGGGATAGTCACAAAGTAATATATTTTAACGTATTAGGGATACTGGCAAATGGGTACTTTCTTTAACCAAACATATTAAATTATTTCGACTCTTCAATACAATCAAATATTAAAAAATATTTATTACAAAACTCATAGAAAACTATCGTTTTTGACAGTGCGAAAAAAGTATTGAATTTGACTAGTTAACAAATACCCAAATGTAATCTATTTCTACCGTTATAAGAACATAACCTAAAATAAAATTATTGACACTGACATTGACTTTCCCGCGAAACTTAAATGGGCAGAGACAACAAAGCTTGTTACTAAAGAGCGCAAGGAAACAATACATACAGCCTGTTACATCCTTCTGAGTATGACATGTGACAGATGAGTACCGAAGGACAACAAACTTGTTTGTTCTATCCAAAAATAGGCAGACATAATTTCACTTACAAATTTTAATGAATGAAGCACCTAAATGTCAGTTAGTTTATTTATGTGTACGTGTGTAATGGGTTATCACGTTCCTAGACGTAAGACGATGACAAAATAATTAAAATTGCGGGTTACTTACGTGAATATACTGAGAAAAGCTCTTCCTCATGAGCAGCGTGCGCGGTCGTGGCGATGTCACCGTAGTACGTAAACGTACGTAACGTAAACTAGTAGAGCTTTTCTCAGTATATTCACGTGAGTAATCCGCGATTTTACTTAATTTAGTATGTCTCACTATAGTTATTATAAGACAACGACAGATGTCCTTCGTGTCAATGTGTGTATGTTCTACGTGTAAGTGTATAGTAGCCAGGTGCCAGAGTCGTTGTTTCAAGAGACTGTCTCTTTTTTCAAAGTCCTTTGTTCTATCCATATTATTCACAATAATAATCCTCCTCCATACCGGTTTCGGTTACGGCGACCATTTTATGACTACTGGCGTCTATCATGGACTCTCATGTGGCTTGCTCTCTTTCTCATGTTCTCTCTGACTTTTGACGTCTCAGCCATTGAAATAAACTTCTATTCCTTTGTTGTCTCCATAGCGAAAATTATCAATTTGTACTTTCATTAGAGGACAGACTGTCAAATTGACACTTTTTTTCTTAAAACTAGTTACTGCCGCGCGGCTTCACTCGTTGCTCGGCTCATTTTTGATCGTAGCGTGGTGTTTTATAGCCTATAGCCCTTCCGATAAATGGACTATCGAACACAAAAAATCATCATCGAATTTGAACCATTAGTTCCAGAGATCAGCGCGTTCAAAACTACAACATATTTTCATTCGTTTTTTAATAATTGAAATATTTGACTTATCTTTCGCTCGAATACTAATAAAATAAAGGCTACTCAATTTGAACTCAAGTTGAACTTAAATATCGGGTATCCAGTAGCGTAGCGTGCATTGGGGGCGCCCCGTATAAAAATTTGTTTAGGGGCCCTTGAACGATAAACATTTCTCACAACAGATTCTTTTTACATAAAATACTCATAATTTGTGTGATAACCGAAAATCTTAATAACTTTTATTTTTCTTAAGTTTCTGCTAACCTTTGAACGCATGCTTAACGCGGGAAAAAATCGTTTATTTTGACTTTTGCGATTACTGAAATAAACATTGGGAAGTTTTTATTAATTTTTGCTTAGGCACGTTGGGGGCCTATGTAGTCCGGGGGCCCCGTATAATTGATACGGCAGTTATGGCGCTAGCTACGCCCCTGCGTGTATCTTTGTCATTTTACAAAGAATTTGTAGCGATAGAACTATACTTAAGCGCGACTTGAGCGACGTTTAAGTATTTCAGCGTTAGACTTTGTTTTCATTAATGTATGAACAGTTTTGTGCTAAGTTGTCCTTCTATCTTATACTTTTATAGTGACAGCATCTAACCAAATCCTCAAATAGTACATCCGCCCGCCTCAAGCCTTAACTACAAACACATTTCGCTATTTACATAAAGTTTAAGTACACAATATTTTCTCGCGAAAACTTAGTGTTACCAGTCATCCATATTTGTATGTGGTAACACTGGTATTATTTCCTTTTTTGCTGTTAGCAACACTGGTGGGAATTCGTAACTTAAATATGAATTATCTCATAGACAGAGTGTTTTATAACATAACGTCACGCCTTTTATCCCCGAAGGGGTAGGCAGAGGTGCACGTTACGGCACTTAATGCCACTGTACAAT